AGCTAAGACAGTGGGTCTTTGGGAAGATTCTGTCTCTCTGCTGTGCCCTGGTGTGAGAGGGGGCTTTACTGTGCTCAATTTAGTGCCATTACTGAGGGATGCTGCAACATCATCTAGTCCAGCTATTTGTACACAAATAGTGAAATCCAGTCATCTTGAAAGAAATTCAGTATATTGTGCTGTGATAATGCATGTTATTAAGTACTCTTCAGACAGTAACCATCTGATACACAGTGTTAAACCCAGCCCAACTAGGTCTACCCTTTTTTTCATCCAGTTTTGCCCAGACAAACCATCTTTTCTCAGACAAAGCTCTCCGTGAGGTACAACAGTGCAGCTCTGCAGGGTGCACAGCTGGGGGGGCACATGTCCCCAGTTCTTTGGGTTGAACTTGCAAAAATCTCTGAAAGAAAATAGGGCATCTGTTTCTGCTTTCATTCAGAGCTTGGAGGGACTTAATGATACAAGCACCGTCTGTGAATGGCTAAACACTTCCTTTTATGAATGCTTTCCTCAAATATATTATAAAGTACAGTGCCAGCTCTCTTTTGCCTCCCTTTTCTAGAACAGGTTGAAAAAACTTGCTGCTGAATGTGCTATATATTTTGTGTCTGTTTTTTATGGCTACTGTGTGGAAGGCTTTAATTGCAACTCACTTCTCAGTAAGACTGTTTGGCCTTTTTTTTTGGAAGCGTTGTTCATTATCTGTATCTTTGGAGTGGCAGACCAGAGATTTGTCACCATTAGGAGGAAAAACAAACGTGTTTCAAAAGGGGTCTAGGTCAGTTTTATCAACATAGGATTTGATCGATGATGATGATTGTGAAAAGTAGATCCGCCACCTTACTCAGTCTCAGTATTGAGAAAAAAACAGATCAGCTTTCAGTGAACAGCTGATTTTCTAAGATACTGTTGTGTTGACAAATGAGCTGTTAAACCAAAACTGTGTCCCCTGGATTTAGACGATTAACATCTAAATAATAGTTACAGCATCAGTATAAACATTGTCTAGCCTTATCAGTCTTTGTTTTTTAACTCATTGTATTTTCCTGCATCACTTATAATACTTTACCAGGTGAATGGTGGGGCTTAAAATATTTGTCTTTCAAACGTAGTGAAATACATGCCTTGCCTTTTATTAACTGAATGTAAGCATATGAATATATTTAATTGATGATTCTACAGTGAAACGGTTGTTCTTGTATAATATAATAACTAATGCTAAAATATATGTAATATGCATGAAAAATACTGTGTTTGGCTAAACGGAGGTTTGTACAGATTTGTATGTTTTTCTGTGTGCATACAGTGTACAAATGAACTCTGCACATCGGATGAATACAATATTTAATCTGAAGTGAAATGCGTAACACTCTTAGCAACAGTTCAAAGATGAGGACAGCTTTATTAGTGTTCTAGAGTCGTGCTTTCTTAAACTCAAATTCTTGTCTTACTGTGGATATTTGACAGTTTTGTTGTTGATTTCCAATTAGAAAATTAGCAATTAGAATTTGCTCCCTTATATGTCAGCTACAGTGTTGTTTTTTTAAGTGACTTGAGCATACATCAAAAATGGGGGGTGGAGGAAATAGAAGTGTTAATAAAGTTCCTTAACAAAGACAGGAGTATATAAACCTTCTTTTCCCACTTAAAGAAAATTAGAAATACCTCCTCCTATATGGACTGGAGTGCATTTTGGGAAATACCTGTGTGTTTCTGAAATCATGTGCACTAAGCAAATGTGACAGTTTATAATTTCTTATAAATATTTACTCTGCTGCCCCAGTGAGGCTTTTGAGAGTGTGGGCTTGTCCTTGGGAGGTTCCCTTTTTTCTCTCTGTGTAGGAACTGAGCAGCTGTTTTGAAGAGAATACTGATAAAAGAAGCTTTCTCATTGCTTGCTCTCTCTTCACCTTTCAAACCTTTCACTCTTCAGTAAAGGCAGAAGTTCTTCACCTGCTCTCTTTTGCTAATCGCTCTACTTGCCCTGCTGATCATGTTCCATTTCACTGTTTTTTCACCTTTTCTGTTAGCGTCCACCCTCACCTCTGTTCCTCTGGTTTTGCTTACAACATAAGCTCATTGGAACCTCTTCCAGCTTGGATAAAGGTCCAGGCCATCGCCAGTTACATTTACACTTCTAGATACCTTCTGCAATTCTCTTCTTCCCCTCATTGCTCAACATGCTGTCAGTAGTTGTTGGTGGAGTGCCTTTTCCAGCCCAGCTTTGCACATTTGATTCTGGGCAGCATCTTTACTGACCTCTTCCTTATCCAAAGGTTACAATATGCACTGCCTCCTCAGCCTCACATCACCTGTCATCTGTCTGCAGTCCCCAGTGTTGTTCTTGAAATCCTACCCATTCTTCTGTTCTCTGATCATGTCCTCTTCACCAGTTTGCCTGGAGGATCTTCCCCTGACCATCTTTCTGGTAGTTGTTCTCTGAGGTTGTGCCCTTGGTAATTCATCTTTGTTTTCTGTGCCTTCTGGATGAGTTTATCTTTAGATAAATATCAGCTCAACTCCTGTGTCTATGCTGAAGACTTTGGTGCTGTGGACCAGAAATCCCTTTCTGCCATGGAAATGTTAGCTGACATTTTTTTATCCCATAACCTCCAATTTTTTTTCTCAGTTACATATTTTTGATCATTTGGACAACACCATCACCTTTCTTGCCACTCAGATTTCTCTTAAAAAGCTCTTTAATTCATAGAATCATAGAATTATAGAATGGTTTGGGTTGGAAGGGACCTTAAATATCATGCAGCCCAACTCCTCTCCCATGGCTTTGAACACTGCCAGGGATGGGGCATCCACAGCTTCTCTGGGCAACATGTTCCAGTGCCTCACCACCCTCATAATAAGAATTTCTTCCTAATACCTAACCTAAACCTGCCCTCTTTCACATTGAAGCCTTTTCCCCTTGTCCTATCACTACATGGCCTTGTAGAAAGGCCCTCTCCAGCCTTCTTGTAGGCCTCCTTTAGGTACTGAAAGGGTATTCAGGGTTTCCCTAGGTGATTGTGACTACACTGTACTTAAAACTTGTCAAATTCTTCTGCATTCATCTCTTTTGTATACTTCTGTACTGTTCAAAATGTGTCCAGAATTTATGTCTTATAATTTCTGCATCTGTAAAGGAAGCATGCTTTGGTGATGTTGGTAAAGTGAGAGTTTTTCCCTGCTGCTGCTGCTCTGGGGAAGCCTGTGGTGATTTTTCATCTTCTGTTCACTGTTAAGATCTTGACTGCATCCCTTTCTGATCCAGAATGTTGCCTTCAGTTCACTCCTTAGCCTGTTTTGAAACAAATGCTTGTGCCCAGGGAGAATGATCTGAAAACATTCATGGTGCTGACTGGGAAGCCTCACTCAGCACCTCCCTCTTACTTTACTGTGATGCTTGCAAAAAACCCAAAAGGCAACCAAGAGGCTGCTAGCATTCCTAGGCTCTTAAACTGTTCACAGCTTTGCTGCTGGATCCCTCCTACATTGTCTGCCAGTCTGTCCAGTTGCTGCCTCCTGATTTTTCTCACAAGTATGGGATAGGGATCTTTTTCACCTTTTGGACCCTTTTCTTTTATCCAAGTTTCAGAATATGAATAGCCTTTAGTAAATAATGTGTAAATTAGCAGCATGTTCTGCAAATTTCATACATTGTAGTCTGCATTCTAGGTATTATTTGCCAGGTAAACTGTTTGTGTAGAGGTAGAGTTATGTCTGTGTATGTCTATATGTCTATACAGTTTTCAAAGAATATAGATAAAAAATAAGGCACCCAAGTGAAATCTCACTAGCTGTGTTGCTACTGAACCTGGTGAGGTGAACAACTCATCAAAATTAACTTGAATTAGGCTTAATCAGGTTTACAGCACTTACGTTTCTGGTTTGCTTGTGTGTTTGGTTTTTTGTTTGTTTGCTTGTTGGTTTTTTTTTGTTGTTGTGGGTTGTGGTTTTGTTTTTTTTTAAAAAAAAGAGAACCTTTTATTTTTCCATTTCCTATGTGCAATTGTAACAGCACATAATCTGTGGAACTTCTACCACCTCTGAGACACTGGGAACCTGTTTTCAGAGGAGACCGTTTATTCCTAAATAAAAGTAGTGTATAGGTTCATCCAAGCTGTAAGAAGGGATTAAATGAACTCTGAAGTTCTCTCTTCAATTTCCATTTCTGTGATTCTAACTTTAGGCTATGGTTTTTTGCACATCCTCTTCATCATGGATATTAATAGTCTACTTGTAATTTAGATACAGTTTATTTATTTGGGTTTTATATTTCAATTGTTATTTCTAATTAAAATGAAACAGGTGTATTTGCAAGACAATGACATTGTCAGCAAAACAGTACCAAAAGGTCAATTCACAAACATAACTAGTGTTTAGTTATCCAGTGCCTTCATGTATTATCAGGTAGTTTTTTGTACATAAACACATCTGCTGATCTGAATGCATTAGGAAAAAGGATAGGAAAAGCAGCTAAATTATGTGGAAATTTTAATTAGTAAGAAAGAGGGATAGTAAGGTCTTCCAACAGCATTTTCTAATTGAAGTCACTGAACTGGCATTTCAGCAATCATTTCTGCTTCAGAGATCAAGAGAGATTATTTATCCTTAGCAGTTTTCAGCTCTCAAAAGTTCATGCAGGCCAAGTGACTTCCATCAATTATGAACACTGTTGTGAACTTGTCCTTTTCCTGATTTTATTGATTAGTCACGTGATTTTTGGGAAGATACGAAGGTCTCTGTCACATTTTCCTTGTTCTTACAAAGCAGTGGGAAGTGAACAATTTTATTTTCAGAGATCAGTTAGTGGGAATCAAACTGGAGAGCCATGGTTGGAACTTGTTTTGTTTATAGTGGGAAGTGGGTGTGTAAACCTCAGGAGGAAATGTCTGGGTTTGCCCAGGTGTTTGCAGACAGCTGAATGCTGCAGAAAGCATTGGTATTAAATTTCTGTATTTCTGCTTTGATGCCCTATTTATGATTTGTTTCTCCTCACCCAGGAGCAGTGTACCATACCATGGTACAGAGACTCACCGTTGCTGTCAGCACTGGAAAAGACTGAAGCTGGAATCCCTCTTGTCCTTCACCAGAGGTTGCCTTGCAAGACACAGCTGTGAAATGTTCATCAGAAAAAACTGAATGGTAGATCCTTAAGAGTGAGTGAAAAACAAATGACCTTTTAAAATTTTTTGTTCTAAAGTGTATAAAAATAATGCCATGCAGATTTGCATGTAGAAACGCATTCCAGTTCCTGGGTAACTAGGGATTGTGAGGAACTTGAAGTTTCACCTGTGGCACTGGGTTATGGTCACACTGCTCTGTCCTTTGTTGTACATACTTCCTTGCCTCCTCTGCTGTCCATGTACACCTTCTAAGGACCAGTGGCTCAAGGAATGTAAAACAACCCATTGAAATGGGATTTTCCTAAGCAAGAGGCTGGCTTCTAAGAAGGAAGGGAAAAGATCACCTGGAGGGACCAGCTCCTGTGGCTGATATGAAGGTTGCCTGGGAAAATACCTGGACAGCTATATCAGGAAGGGAGATATCCTGTTTCGTAAACCATGTACACCTGCTCAAACAGGGGAGTCATGTAGGAATTAGAAGGGCAGTGCACTGGTTTGCCTTCTTCAGGAAACAGGTGGATAACACTAGTTTCTAATAGCAGAGGGAGACCAAGAGCATCTTCAGAATGCTTGCTGTTTTCTCAGTTATTTTCAGTTGTCTTTTACTTTTGAATAGTGAATGTCTGTGTTCGGAAATCCACTGCAAAGCACAGTTTTAGTGCATTATTTGAATAAGTTATGTATTTGATGTCATATAAAGTATTCCTGCCCTGGTTGTGTAAGCATGTTACAGTACTGCGCTGTGCACCTGCTGGAATAAGGTTTGTGATGATGTTTTCAAGACAAAGTCAGAGACTGTCCCCTTAGGAAATCCCATCCTCTGCACAAGGAGGGGCTTTGCATGCACTGAAGTGTTTCATTGTTTCTGGGAAATAAATTCTTTCTCAATGCTAGAGGATGAGCCAGTCTTTTGGGATCATCACCAGAAGCAGCTTAGGGCTTAGAAAATTAAACCTGAGAGTATGGTGCGATTTCTGAAGTCCATGCAGAAGACAAGTCATTACTGAGATATGTTGATACTTTCCGTATCAGTTGATTTTTGCATTTGTTTTCCAGTCAGTGTGGTTTAATTCCGAATAAATCAAAGTGACAAGAAATGTCATGGTGAAGTCAGGCAGATAAAAGTCCTCAGGCAAATTGCAGAAAGTGGAGTGTTTCTCATGGATACCTTGGATAAGATTCATTTAATCTATCTTTGGATGTTTATAGTGCATGTCCGAGATGATGATTAATAAGGTAAGTAATTTTAGTGTTGTTTATCTGACAGTTGAAATGTACTTTAGGATGGCATAGACTATGTCTTTTGTTCACCGTAAAGGGAGCCCAGATAAGTAAGTCTGTGGTAGGTGTCTGCACTGCCCAGTGGACCTTTTTCTTTATGTGTGCTGTCCCGGTGCTGTCCAGAGAGCCCTTGAGATTTGGAGAGTCCTGAAGATTTGCATTCAGTTGTAAGTGGTCAGAACAGACAGAGCACAGGCAATTGCTTCTTGCAGTCAGTTTGGTTTTTAGTTTTGCTCTCATGAACCTGAGATTTGACTTCAGTTGTCAGAGACTGTCTGGAAAGGAAAATCATGTGATAGAATGGAAGTGATGATTTTTGAACTGTTACCATGAATAGTAGCTCTGTGGTAAAAAAATAGTATCTCTGTGGCTGAAATGTGTAGACTGTGCCATACAAGATCTAAAATAAGAATTTATGAAAATACAACTGTGATTGACAGAGGAATCCCTGTTTTGGCTTTTGATCCTTTTGTGAAGTTGTTTTGAAATTTCACTGAAGCTGGAATGAAGCTGGAATCAACCTCATTGTTTCTTACATTTATTTGGAAAATCTTCATGCGTAGAAGAGATGCAGGGTGGAAGATATGAGAGTGATCCAAACATGCAGCACACAGGGCTAAGCATGGACTGGCCACGTGGGTGGTGGACATGGTCTGAATATTGAGTTTGGAGCTCTCTGCATGTGAAAAGAAGCAAATGACACCAAAGAAGCTAACGAGAGAGAGCAGACAAGAATGTCAGTAGTGCTGAGGAAAAAGCATGAGCATTCTCCAGGTTGGTGCTGTACTGCAGGAGTGTGTTTGCACCAGGGATGCTGTCCTGCTGTTTGAGTCCCACTGATGGAAATCTCTAGGTTTCCTAATTTCATTCCAAGAATAACCACTTAGATTGCAAGTGTAGTGAAGTAGTTTGTTTGCTGTGCAAACTGTTCTGTGAGTAGAACATACTCTGGTGTTTTACAGACTTTCCTGTTCTCTGAATGAAGAAGTAATGTCGTGTTAACCTTCACCCAATGAGCACGTGTGCAGTTTTAAACATGTGGTTCATTTCAGTGGCTTCAGGTGACTATAGCTTAATAAATTTTCCAGTGAAGGGCCATGAAGGGATGGGAGTCAGGGCATTGGATTCATAGATTTGTAATGGCCCTAGTTACACTGATTATCAGTGAAGCAGAGCAAATACGTTAGATCTATTCACAGATACACAGAATGGCTTGGGTTGGAAAGGACCTTAAAGATCATCTAGTTTCAACATCCCCACCATGTGCAGGGATGTCACCCACTAGACCAGGTTGCTCAAAGCCCTATCCAACCTTACCTTGAATCAGGGATGGGGCATCCACAACTTCTCTGGGCAACCTGTTCCAGTGCCTCACCCCTCTTTCAGTAAAGAATTTCTTCCTAACATCTAATCTAAGTCTTCCCTCTTTCAGATTAAAACTGTTCCCCCTTGTGCTGTCACTTATCTGTCCATGCAATAAATCACTCTCCCTCTTTTATATAAGCCCCCTTTAGGTACTGGAAGGCTTCTATAAGGTTTTTCTTGAGCTTTCTCTTCTCTAGGCTGAACAACCTCAACTTTCTCAAGCCTGTCTTCACAAGAGAAGTGCTCCAGCCCTGTGATCATCTTTGTGGCCCTCCTCTGGACCCACTCTAACAGGTCCACATATTTCTTGTGCTGAGGACCCCAGACCTTTGTAGTACTTCAGGTTGGGTCTCACAAGAGCAGAGTAGAGGGGGACAATCACCTCTCTTGACTGGCTGGTCACACACCCCTCTTTGGATGCAGCCCAGGATGCTGCAAACACACACTGTTGACTCATGTCCAGCTTTTCATCTACAAAAGCACCCTCATCTCTTGGGCCCACATCTCAACATATTTACTGCAACACGAATAACACAGTACTCACTGGCGTCAGTGTTTTACATGAAGAATTAATTGTGCAGTTAAAGCTGTTGTTTTAAAATGTGTTTTGGTGGTAAAAGTCCTATGTGTAATACTGAAATTCTGCTATTAGACGGACCTAGAGATTCAGGAGGTGGTGGTCACGGTATTTTTAAAAGATACTAATAATTATCTACCCGTTCAAGCTAGCGGCCAACAGTTTGACACAGTAAACTTGGCCTTCTCAGGTGGAGCAACTGGATGAGAAATCAAGACATCTGCAGAAAGTTTTTGAATTGATTTATGATCCTCTTTGAGGAAATATATGTATCCCATAGTGATTGATTTTTTGCAACTTGCAAATAAATGTATCAAGCAAACAGTCTTTGCTGTCTTTGACCTAAACCCATGGATAGGATAGTATAACCCACACTTTTTCAACAGACTTTGTAGTCACTAAGGCTAGGCTCTCTCCTTACTAAGATCTCCCGAGAGATGCTTTAAAGTTGCTTCCCAATATTTGGAGACCGTTTTTAGGGCTCTTCCAAAGTCTGCTGAGGTCAGAGAGAGCCCTCTGGCAGATTCAGCAGCTTTGGGACCTTTCCTAAAGTAGTTCCCTGTATGAATCAGGTGCAGCTAGTTTTAGTCCATCAATAATATTTTTGTCTTGAGAGTTACAGCCAGCTTCTCAACAGCAGTGCTGGGGGATCAGCACGTGGGATTAGGAAATGGGAATTACTGCCCCAACTGTGCTGACTAGTGGGGTGATACTGTGCATCAGAATGTGACCACCATGTTTGCTTCCCTGCTGCATGCAGTTTCTCTCACTTGCCTATTTTCCAAGGTGTGCCAGATCCCTGGATATTTGTTCTTCCTCTTGCTGTTGCAGTACCCTGTGATGGGATGTAACTGGAAAAATCATGTTCTTTTGATGGTAACAGTATGTACCATAACAGAGGCACATACCTTTCCATGGATTAGAGTGGACATACTCAGCATTTCCACCCATGCTGCTCTGAATACATCTCTCTCCCACGCTGGCGACTCCATCCCTAGGATTTCTTCCACTGACTTTCAGCTTGACCGTCATTAAGGTTTTAATTGACACTCCACCTGCCAGACTCTTGCTGTCAGGCCAGATGCCTGGCAGTATTGAGGAATACTGTGATAATACCCTAACATCTCGGGTACTTGTGTCATGTCTGTGATTTGGTGCTGCACTGGGTGGCACTGGTCCAGCTACCTCACTGCATCTCCAAGTGCTCTCCCAAGACATCAGCTGTGATGGGACAGGAGGGACTGTGTCATCACTGCTGGCAGCTCCTAAGTCGTGTTTTTCTTGAAGAGGAAGAACATCTCCAATGCACTTTTGCCAGCTGGAAAACATTTCAAAAGCTGGTAAATGTGTTTTCTTCCCTGCTTTGTCAGCCAGAGCATTTCCAGATAACTGCCTGGTTGCACATCTTTAATAAAGTTTATAAAAGATAAGATCTAGCTCAAATAGACATTTTTGCCTTGGTGTTGGTTGGCATTAGATTATCATAGTGGTGTTTTTTGGCCTTGGAAAAAAATCTATAAATGTAGGAATTAATTTTTTTAATTAAATTTAATAGTGTGGCTTTTGCACTGTTAACCTGAATTACTATTATGTGCTGACTGGGAGATTGTGGGGTTGCTTGTGCTAGCAGTAAAGAGAGTTCAGCTCCTACATGAGGGGGAGGAGACCTCTGCACCATCACTCTGACATGGGACCAGTGGCATCCCCAAACTGAATGACAGATTCTGTCTGTGCTCTAGGTAATTTGAACCCTGAAAATGAAGGACATACCTTGGGAAAGGAGGGAAGAGCAGTGGAGAAGCAAAGGGAG